CAGTCGTATTTCTTATGACTCTCCCTCTGAAAGGAGAACCCACTCCCAGCTGCCCCATTTGTTAGTGCTGCGTTCATGAGTGGCAGGACAGTCACACCAGGGTACAGTACTGGCAGCCTGCTCTCTGCCTTTGTACATAATCAACCTAGAGAATAAATGTAGATAATCTGAGGCACAATCTAAAATTCAAAATCCATGGAAAGACTCCTGTGGATTTCAGCATGGTGCCAGCTGAGCCCTTAATATATGCTGAACTACATCTTCTGGAAGCATAGCAGTTTTAATGCTTTTTCCAAACCTTGTTTCTTGAAGGAGAAAGAACTGTGGAGGGCTTAGAATTAAAAGTCTCAAGGTATCAAATTCAACTTTGGTTGAAGTCATGCTAAAACAATTCTTTTAATTTTCGGTGCTTGTATGCGAAGTTCAAATACTAATATACACAATTCAATTTCCCATTCAATATATTGCTCCTTTTTTCCCCCAAGGTTTTATATCATCTCCATATGAAAGTAAAGAACATTTCCAAGAAGTCAGAGAGATCAAAGAAGAAGGTAAATATCTTTGGTTTAATCTGTACACTGACTATAACATAATAGATATGTCAGGTTTCTAAAATAACCAATATCCTTTTCAAGATCCATCCGCATACTGAAGTGTCATTCATGTACCAGTCTTTCAGCTCAGGTTCAGAATTCATGTTGACAGTTTGTTATATCTTTATAGACACAGTACATAATGATGTCATTAATGAAATGTTATACTGATCTCTATATACAGGCCTGCTGGACTGCCTTTTGATTTACTGTGCTATAATAGAATCCCACAAATACTATTTTCTTACATTGGCAGCCAGTAAGATACTCAGACTATAAAAATATCTAGGTGTTTTGAGTACACTTCAGCAAGCTAAAAGGAAAATATGTGAAGAACCCTGAAACTGAAGTACTTCAGTTTTGCTGCAGTTTGCATTTAAGATCTTTCTTAAAGCTTGCATCTAAGTAGGTGGTGGATTCAGATCCTGGTTTGATCCCTTCGCAAACCAAAGAACAGGGTTATCCCTGGCTCAAGCTTTATGAAATAAGCAGAATTGCAAGTATTGACTGAGAAAAATGTTAAGGATAGATTTTTTTTTTCTGTGTAAGAATCTTAGAGTGAATAAGCGATAATTAATAGACATTTTCAGGTAGCAAAACTCACCGACTTCAGTGATGTAACATTAGATTTACCCGACGTGAAAGGGGAAAATGCTGTTTCAGTCAGAAGTGTTATAATTGTTGAGTATGCAGTGATAAGTGAAACTGTAGGCTACCTGGCTAGTCAAAGACAGAAAGTAATGGAGTGCTATCATTAACTGCGGATAGGATAATCAGGTCACAGTCTGTGCCAGCAGCACAGCAACTGTACAACCCAAATGAGCTGTTTGTGTGCCTCCAAGCAGATGTGACAGCCAATGGAGAGGACTAAGGAGTGCTTTGATTTGCTCTCAGCCAATGTACTGGCCAGTTTCAGCAGCTACCTGCCACATTAGAGCAGCCCTACAAGATGTTGCCATGATGCTGTCTATGACAAAAATGAGGGTCATTACAGCAAACATGGCCATTTGATTGAAAAGGATGCAAGACAGAAATCAAAGCTTTGACGTGACTCCAGCAAAAAAAGACAGACGCTGGTACCACAGCTGCAACAAGCTACAGATATTTTGAAACATGGAACGACTTTGGGGCATGACAAGTTGCATCCAGTGATTTATTCACTAGCATTACAGGACCCCCCTGTAAATCTAGATCACTCAAAGATGAGGAATTCAAGATACTAGATTTTCAGCATGAGGCAGCTATACCTCATAATAACCTGAACCAGTACTTCTATTAATTTCTCTCTTGCCAAAGAGACTTACTGTAATGGAGACAAAAAGGTATATCCCTAAACATAACATAGCCATCTGTTCCTTATCTGAGAAAGAAACCAATCTAAGTAAGTTAATGTTCTGTATGCAGCTAAGGTATCACAGGAAAATGTACAGTTCTCATCAACATAGATGTCTTCATGATCAACCTATTCAGGAAAAAGCAGAGGTACTTTAGGAGGTTAACTGCACTTTAGCAGCTATAGTAGCATTTCAAACAAAACTTAAGGGTTTTTAATACAAAAATAATATTATCTTTCAGGTGTATCCTCTGCAATATTATGCTACAGTTTTAATGGTCTGGGCTGTGCTGCTTCTAGTTGATTTAGAACTGTTAAAGAGATTTTGTCAGTCCTTTATGCCTATGAATCCTAACCAGCTTTAACTATAGATTATATTTAGTTTCTACTGGTTCATTACATTCACTAACATACACTCAGTTTTGTTGGTAATATGATTATCAATCCATAATGGTCTTGCACCTACACTGCCTGTAAGGATAGAACTCAACTGGTATTTGCAATATTATCTCACAATACAAGATGACTATAGAAGTTATAATACACCACGCACAATATTTCCTTGATGGGAGTTACTTTCCCTTTCCCCTTAGGGTGTTTTTGATCATGTTTTCTGTGTTCAGTTGCTGAGTTCACAAAGTAAGCATAAAGCCTCACAGATACCACTTTGTTCATCTGCTTGTTCCTGAACCTTACTGAGATTAATGTTACTAGTCCAGCTCATCTAATTTCAAGTAGGTTCTGATAAATATTCTTTTAATCACCTTTTCTAAGGCAATAAATTATGCAAGAATTAGCTGCTATATATTGCTTGCTGCAGGAACAGCAGCAATAGACGAACACCAGACCTAGATGAAACAGACTATGTTGAAGAACACCATGTCCTATTTTGCCTACTGACTTTCTGATGAATGCTGATGCTGCCACAGATATACTATGAATTAAAATTTGAGAACCAAGAGTATCACTTCTGGGCAGATAGTGCAGACTACAAGCAGAAAGCACAGTCGGAGTCTTGTGTGCTTAACAGCTACCATGAGAAAAGGCAACCAAGATCTGTTGACAATTTTATGTAAAATACAGTAAATGAAGTGCTAAGAAGCACTGTCATTTTGCATAGAATAATTTCATGACTTCACAAGTTTGAAAAGTTGCTTTAGGTCTCAAAAATCACCAACAAATCCCTAAACAGTTTGGTTGGTTTAAATTCCCCTCCTGTCTTTTGTTACCTATATATGAATGGCACGCTACCCATTTCTTTGCTATATTTGAAAAGAATGCTACCAACAGTCAAAAGTTACTACTGTTGTTTTCCCATAAAGCAGTGAGTTACAGAATTTCCTTTATGACACTCATTTCAAATGTATCTGTTTGCATTGTTTTCAGATTTGACCTGTAGAGTTAGATGAAAACACAGCTCTACAGTTTCTTCAGCCTTGGGTTTCCTGATTAGATAGTACTTCACCGGTTCAAACATGGTGAATGGTACAGCACTTCTTCCTCTCTCCCCTTAAGTATTTCCCTGGCCATAATTCTGGAATGCCCGGAAGCAATTCTTGCTCCATTCAGCACAGTTAGGCCTTATTAAATAAGTGATCTTTCAGATGAAAGAAAAATCAAATACATTCCTCTATACACACACATCACCTTCCACAAATTGTTTCCTTCCAGCACTTTCTGTGTAGAAATTGATCATCTAGCCTTTCTGCAGGCCAAACAGCATCTTTAGTGTACCTATTTCAAGTATTTTTTGTTTCAACCACTTCTCTTAGCACTCTATAAGGTGTCTTTCTTGGGTAGGTTGCAGACATACTCAATTCCTGCATATGCTTTCAAAGTATACTTTAAACACATTGAACGTCAATCATTTCAAGCAGATCTTCTTAAGAACACTTCACATTAGAGCCTAATAGGAAATTTGTATGTGCGTGTCAGTTCTGTTAAATTAGCTTCCTTCATATGTACTTAATTGGTCTATTAGTGACAAGTAGTTTTGTTTGGTTTTAATTCATAAACATCAGAGATTAAGTGAACAGCTTTTGCTTATTTTGCTCAAAGATGTTTGACAAATGAATCTTGCTCCACGTTTGAAAGGTTAATTTAGCATATACAGAACATCTAGCTTGTTCTGAAATACGTGCGTGACTTCAGTGGCTAAACCCTAATTGCCTTGATCTATCAAAAGAAAGTGTAACAGAACAGCAGTGTCTTCCAATATGAGGTGATAAAATTACCTTATTCACATCTGTTAATTTACAGTATGTATCTTGACCCCACTGATATGGAAAACAAAGTGTCATACTGGTACAAAAGAGTACAGCCTGGAACTATGACCACTCCGTTCCGACTTTGTTCCTATAATTTCAAGAAAGCAGAACACTTGAGCTATTATCCTCCTCCCACCCCTACGGGAAGGGATTTTGGGTTTGGTCTGTTTAGGTTTTTTCCCCCTGTTTTTTTGTGTTTGGTTTGTGGGTTTGGTTGTGGTTTTTTTAACAGGTAATTAGTAAATTTTGCAAACAGCTGTTTGTTCAGATCTCACTACATTCATCTGGGCTACGTGAGTAAAGGTCTCAAAGGAATCAAACTGCAGACTCGGAGTCCTTGTTGAACAAGATTTTCCAGTGAAATGGTTGCCTGCATTACCACTGCAAACAGTTTGTTTTGCCATTCAGAATTCCAGAAACTATAATATCCCTTCTGCTTTGTGCTAGACAGACGCCTCAAGATAGAACACTTCCAAGATAAAACATAGTTAAGAACCAAAGCAAATGCCATAGAGCTTAGGGAAGGGACTTCTTATAAACAGAATTCCACATGCTGGCTGAAAACACATTGCTATTATTCTCCATTATAGGCTGCTTCTAAAAAAACCAGTAATATCGGGTAAGATTTTTTTTAAAGTGTCATGACCTATTTCTGGATCTATAGCTTTCATTGACCTTGTTGGAGTCTTAGTATAATACCATTCCCGCCACCCCCAAATCCTGTAAACACTGATAACAGGCAGAAGGGGCATCATCCCAATTCATATGGTTTGAGCCACGGAACACAGAAATGCATGCAGTAAGGAAGTAGTACAGAGACAAATCCAAATTCAAGTCACCTGAAAGGTCATAGAGGAGCCGGTATTTTATCTGCTATTAGTACATCCCGTGAATCTCGAAACAACATGTGAATCTGGATAAGGCCAATAGTTACAGAACAAGTGAGAGACTGCTAGATGCAGACCTAGGGCAATTTCTAAAGAGATGATGACAGCATGGCCCAATGAATGATCCCAGTGTTGTGCAAGTATATGCCTGACTTTCCTAGTTGCATTGCTGTAGCAAAGAAAGCAAAATAACACTGGATTTAAGTGAATCTGAGCATCCGAAATATATTACCGAAGCCCAGATACTTGGTACTGTAGCTCAACCTCTCTCTTTAAAGATCATATTGTAACAGTAATCTGTATCAATGCCTTTAAAAAAAAAAAACAAATTTTTTTTTTTTTTTAATAAATCAAACACACAGAAACAAAGCTTAATGAACTACAGTACTACAATTTTGTTATTCTAAGAACTCTCTTGCTTGTTTTCTCTACCACTTCTTTCTGCCTTTTTCTGGCACAGCATGGTTTTCC